AATGAATAAATCTAAGGGGGCAGGAACACATCTAAGAGAACACAGGGGTCAAAGGTGAAGGTCACACAAGGAAAAAACAACTAGAAAACTGGGAGGGGGAGATAATGTAAAGTAATGGAGAAAATAAGACTCACTGTGAGACATGGAGAACTAAAACAAATGCTGGGGAGACAAGGGAGACGGGACATGGAACATAGGATGACATGGACAGGACACCCTGGAAAATAAAACTAGTAGATCAGTGTGTGGGTTAGGACAACTGACGTGCAGCGGTGAGTACGTCGTGTTTATCAAAGAGCACGAGGAGACGGTTTGAGAGGCAACCATAGATTTTGCCCCACTGCTGAGATCTGTCTATGGATCGAGGCCAGACCCTTATAGGATGGCTTGCTGGGCTACTTCTGGATAGCTTTAGCCCAGACTGCATTTTCTTCATGAGGCAGAAAAAAGGAAAATGTAAATAATTTCTGTTTTTATTAGCTCAACAGGCTGGAAATGTAATCGACTGATTTGAATCTAGTAAAAATAATTTCTAATTAAAAACATGAAAATCAACTGCGTGCCTTTGTATCTGAGCTGAAGGCTGAGCATTTGTTTGGAGGAGAGCCAGAACCACGTTTCCACCATGAGACATAGCACATTTCATTTAGTCACAAAACAGGGTTTTCTTTAGACTTCTGTGTTTTGTTTGAGAGATACAGAGCAAACGAGTTGGCGTGACTCAGGCCCGAGTCTCGCCGATTCGTTTTGCTGTGTCATGTTACCAGGGAGCAGGAGGGTGGAGTTTCCTCTGGCTGGAAACAACGACAGTTCAGCTGCAGCGGGGATTTCCCTCCGGGCTCTGGGCGTGGTGAGGTTTAACGCAGCCATCAGAATTCAGGAACAATCAATGTGAGTTTTTAATCTGACACCAGCAGATATTCTCATTTCAGGCGCTCAAATGAAAGAAAATGCAATTGGGTTTGACCATTGACCTGACCCGTGTTGGCCCTACAGCTGATGAAGGTCTAGCCCCCACCGTCTCACAGTGCCAGGTATTGTGTAATGTAATAGTTGATACTCACAAAGCACTCCCCCTGAACACCTGAAACGCTCAACACAAACAGCTACCATCATTCCATCAGTAACTGAAGCAGGACCGGTTTCTGTCTGAACATTTCAACAGACCAGACCATCAACACAGAGAAGAGTTTAATGTTGGGAGGTGATAAGTCAGTAGAGCCCATCTTAATTCTAGAAAGATCTTCTACTCCATCATCTGTTAGTGGGTGTTTCCATTTAGATACATAGTTTGGGTTTGGACGCCTGCCACCTGTTTATCTGTTTTCTTTTGTTGTTTCTGATCAGTTACTTTTGTGTTTTGTTAAATTTAGGATTTTCCAGCCTTTATTTACCTCGTTACTCATCACAACGTGACATTCACAGACAAACTGACTCTGAGATCCGCCTCCAACAAAGAGGAATCAACTGACTATGGTTATAACTTCCTTACATGGTCACATTCACGTGCTTGTCAATGTCTATGTCAATGTCAAGTTTATTTATATAGCACATTTCCAACAATCAGAGATTGCACAAAGTGCTGTACACAGACAAGCAGTAAAAATAATATGATAAAACACTGAGAAACATCCAGTAGACCCTATGTAAAATAAATTAACGATGAAATCAGTTAAAAGCAAGGGTAAAAAGTTAGGTTTTTAAAAGAGACTTAAAGGCAGAAAGGCTGTTAACAGACCTAATCTGTAGGGGAAGACTGTTCCAGAGCTTGGGAGCGGTCACAGAAAAAGCTCTGTTGCCTCTCGACTTCAGCCTAGACTGGGGAACAGATAAAAGAGGTAGAGATGATGATCGCAAGTTTCTTTTGGGGACATGAGTGTTTAAGAGTTCCGACAGATAAGGAGGGGCCAAATTGTGTAGTGCCTTAAAACAGAGCAGTAGCTTTTAAAGCCAGTGAAGAGCTTGTAAGACTGGTGTTATGTGATCCCTGCGCCTCCGACCTGTCAGCAAGCGAGCTGCCGCTTTCTGAAGGTTGGTTTATGCTTGACACGTCCGCGAGGCCCGCACGGCTCCGCGCGGAAAAGTTGCGTCATTTTAACAACCACGCCCCTCCACCCCGCCTCCGCACGGCCCAAAATTTCCGCACCGCGCACCTAGGAAATTTTCTAACCACGCGGACAGTCAGACGCGGAAAAACATGGCGGACTGGGTCGTAAATACAGACATTTGTATGATTCAGCTCTCAAAGATCACCGTGATCAACATGTTGTCAATAATTCTTAGAGAGAAATAGCTTGCACTGTCGGAAAAGACGAGGACGCTGGAATGCCATGTTGTAAACAACAGTCATTTTTACTTCTACTATGGTGTAGTGTTGGATGCATGCTGTAGAGCTCCATGCTGCCCCGTTCAGTTTGGGAGAATATTGGCTCACCGCAGAGACAAGCCGCATGAACCATAAACGCTGCAAGTTGTGAAGCGCGTTCCAGCCGCGAGCCGCATCACCAAGCGGAAAGTAAATGCGTCAAGCATAAACCAAGCTTGAGCCTCCTGCAAGCGGTGAATTGATGACTGCTCCAGTCCATGATAAAGAGAGTTCCAGTACTTGAGTCTCAACATGATTAGCAAGTGTATAACCTTTTCAAAATCTTTAACTGGTAAATAGGGCTTGACTTTACTAAGAACACGCAAATGAAAGAACACACTCCGGGCCACAGAACTTATCTGTTTATCAAGCTTAAAATGGCCATTAATGAAAAAAACCCAGATTTCTTGCCTGAGACACGCAAAACGATTCTAAAGGGCCAAATACACTGTTTACACCGTGCAACAGCCCAGGGTCCCCAAAAACCACAATTTTAGTTTTTTTTTGTCATTTAAAGAAAGAAGCTTAAATTGTAGCCAGTTTTTAACGTCTTTTAGACAATTCAGCAATTTATCAAACGATGGCCTTCGAGAATGTAGTGGGACATACATCTGCACATCGTCCGCAAAGAAGTGGTATGAGACGCCATGCTTATGAAAGGGGCAACATATACAGTGAGAACAAGAGCGGGCCCAAAACTGAACCTTGAGGGACACCACAACTAAGTTTCGCTGGAGACGAACAACACTGCCCCATATTTACAGTAAAAGTCCTGTCTGACAGGTAGGACTTAAACCACTGCAACACAGAGCCTCAGATGCCAACGTCATGCTCTAGGCGGGATAAGAGGATCTGATGTTGTTGTTACACGGAAACCGCATGGACAAGATTTGACCCTTTATAGACTCTGTAGCTGCAGTTGACACCCACTTGACTCCAAGCCTGTATCCCGACCATGAAAATTAAAATAACTACATTTTAAAACATGAAAACACAGAAATAAATGTTTTAAATGTGAGTGACCAATAAAAGTTGTTATGTTTGACTCTTTCTTTTCAAACGCACTTCACGATACCTCAAAAGGCTAACAAGCTAACCCACTAGCAGTGCTGCCTAAATATCTGTTTCATTGACATTTTGAAAAAAGTTGACCACATGTGATACAAATAAAATGTATTCATTGTTGTTTTGCTATTTAAGGGAAAAACTAGACTTTTACTTTGTATTTCAAGTCATCTTTTAAAACCGTAGCATAATGAGGCGCTTGTTGCCATAATGTAGCGGAAAACAGGTCTGTTCAAAGTGCCATATTTGGCCGCTTCTCAATATGCGCACTTGTGTAAACTTGTGTACTCACGTCAATGTGATACCTCATCAGCAATGACCCAAGTACTGTACCGATCCCAAGTACACATCATGTCAAGGTCGTGCAAAGCTCTGGATGTGTTGCCAATTGTATCGATAATGCATCAATGTATCCTTCTGCAGACTTGGGACAGCAAATTTTCCCACAATGCATTGGGTCACAAACTGTTATCCTCTGAGCATCAGAGGAGAAAGCTCATAACTGTAATGTTATTTCCAGGAAACTGGTAGTTTAATGCTGTTGGTACAATTGCATTTAGGGGGATGAAGAAAAACCACCCAAAGTTTTTGTTTATTTGTTTATTTGAGAATCCTCATTAGTCTTAATCATAGTGAAAACTATTCTTCCTGGGGTCCGCTTCATAAAAAAAAAACAGAAAACACATAAACAAGATATTTATTTTTCTTGGTAATTAGTTACTTTTTACTTGTAACTCGGTAAGTAACCAAGTTACTTATTTGACAAAGTAATCAGTAACTATAACTAATTACTTTTAAAAGTAACATCCCTAACACTGGTGAGAACTGGTTTTGATTACTGAAGAAGTCACCCACACGCTGTGGGTCATGGTCCCCCTTGATCCATCCCATCCATCTCTCTCTCCCCCCCTCTGTAAAGGGGTACAAATACAAGTAGAACTTTTTGGTATACTTCACTGGAGTAATTATCTAAATACTCTTTACATTTTAAAAATAGCTTCATTACTCCCATTTTATTTTGGCTCATTGTTCAAAAAACATAAAGACAAAAAACCTACCGGATGATTTACGGCATGTGGAGGTTGATAACGATTTTAAACATCTACCATTCTGGAATTGTATTGATTCGTACGCAATTAATTCAGCTCTGTGCCTGAAACAAACCACGTCACAGTCCATTCATTCATTCATTCATTCATTCATTCATTCATTCATTCATTCATTCATTCATTCATTCATTCATTCATTTTGTCCTGTGCATGTAGCTGCTGGATTTCCATATTTACATTACAACAAAAATGCTAAAAAAACAGCCTTTGAAGCTTGACTTTTTGCATCATTACATTAAAAACAGGCAGCTAGTCATTAAATCGTCCACTCTATGAAACGGGTGCTGATGGGATGCAGGACAAATGTGGTTCTTGAACGCATCTGCATTGCACTAAAATGCAGTGGGCATAAATGTGGCTAAAACAGGTAGCCTGGTGTGTCCCAAACGCGTCAACATTCACATTTTCACGTAACATTAGAGACATTGTGGCTGTTGGTAAAATGATTTTGGGCAGGTGTGGTAGTCCTGTGGCACGGTTTCAACTTCTGTCCTTAATGGCCTTATACTTACATTACTTTATCAACACAGTTATACTTTCACTCAAGTAAAAATCTGTTTCAGCTTCTATAGAAGTCTTTTATATTTCCATGCTTTCGTTCTTTTTTAAACACAGAAACAGTTTTGTTTACCTGTTTGTAGCTACAGTGACGCGCCACCATCAGCGTCAGCCTGAAGAAGCCGGCAGCCGTCGGCGAAACTGTAGCTACAAACAGGTAAACAAAACTGTTTCTGTGTTTAAAAAAGAACGAAAGCATGGATTTAGAAAGACACAGCAAGAACACACCTAAGATCTTTTATATTTGTTTCTACCTGAGTAATGTGGATACTCAGGACACATCTACCAGTTGATCCATCCCCGTATCCATGCCTCTGTCCCCCCCGCTTCCTTCTTCCCCAGTTCCTCTGAGAGTTGGAGCTTTGTAGAACTAAATTTAATTTGAATGTGTTTCCTTTTCAGAAGGCACATGACAATCCCATGATCTGAGTTTTAGTTTGTTTCTGAGTCTCTGGACATATTAGCAGGCTGAACTCCACACTTGTCGTGTTGTGCACTTTGGAGCAGAATGCATGTTCTCCATTGGGTTTTCCTGGGTCTCCTGGCAGTCGGATCACATGAGTTCTGCTGTGCTGGACCGCTCCATGCACAGTGTAAAGTGGAATGGTATGACTGATTTAATCTGTTCATTCGTCAGCAGTACAGACTAACCTGCATCTTGAAGTTAATCTCTTTGAATATTTAGGGGTCTGTTCTCTCTCAGCATTGACATGGCAACGTGACACTTAAACTTGAAGACGATACGTGAATGTGTTAAACAACTGAACAGCTCTTAGTCTTACAGGTACTAATCCAGACGCCTGCTAAGAGCTAGTTGAATGCTGGTGTTGTTGTCTCAGCTTCACTAACAACTAATATCAGCTTTAGAGGTTTCAGATGGAAACGATAATCCAGCCAGTGTTTAGCGTTCTCTGAGAACTTAGTAATTCTTTACTGAGTGCTAGTGTGAGTTACCCTTGATTGGCTCAAGTCAACCTTTACCTCCGAGTCAGCCTCAAAACAGTAGTTCCACAGGATGTCCACTAGGTGGTGATATTTGTGATGCTGAGCTGTTCTGGTTCCTGGAGGTACTTTGGGATTCCCTGTCAGCTGGTTTCAGAGGCCCTGGTGTCCCAAATTAAGGAATGGAGGACCCTGTCTAGCTGCACAACAGGGGGACAGAGGTGTCTGTACAAGGTGTGTGTATTTCTATGCCTGTGTTTATGTAGGTGTGTGTGTGTATTTCTAAGCACGTATGTTTTCAGCACAAATCACTAAAAGCTGCTTCCTGATTTTGGAGGGAAACTTAACACCTTAACCATCACTGTCTCTGCCAGGGTTAACTATAAGAAACTAAAAAATGATTTTAAAGATAGACATCTGGTGATGCTGACTGAAGTGAAACCAGAGAATATGTTTGTGTCATAAATAGTTTGTATGATAAAACCTGAACCAGTCATTTTGTGTGTGCTCAGCTGCAGTCGGCCTCAGTCCACTTCATAGCTGCCAAACACAAGAGTCCTGTTCAGGGATACGAGGATGTCATCACTCTCCGATTGGTGTCCCGTAACTTCTTCTCCTGCTGCCACGTTTCGGTAAGTTTGAAGTCATCGGTCGTGAAATGGTTCTTAGAAAATGAAAAAGCTAAATATTTTTCATAGACAGCAGCAAAAGCTTGCAAAGCAAATGTTGGGTTGAAAAACCGAACATTGTGTGTAGAAAACTTCTCTAGCGATTCCCAGGCTGACCTGATCATCACACCTTCAAAAGTACAACCAAATAAACTAAATATTCAGAGGTCACATGGATGATCCAGGGTCGTTCAAAGTTTACATGGACATGATAGCTATGGGGACCAGATCCCTATTCACCTAATTTGGGACAGACTCTTAGTTTGGGAAAATGTGAGATTCCAATGCATTGAGATAAAGTCTAAAATAAAATAAAAAGTTCTGTTTTGCCTTGTAGCTCTAACATTGCTATTCAAATGTAGCATATAAAGACACAATCAAACTGTATCAAATTCATATTTTGCATGGATGGATGAAGCGGGTTCACATGGCTGTCATGTTGTTGAGAGTAGTAATGAGCTGGGACGTCTGCTAGGATCCAACTAGAGCAAACCTGGGCATTTTACGGCCCGCGGGCCACATTGGTTGACTTTGACCGCCCCCCGTAAGGTTAACTGGAAATTACAAAATAAATGTATTTTCTCATTTTACCTCATGCATGGACTAAGGCTGCATTGCTTTTATTTTGAAGTTGTTTTTTACGTGCACAATGACGCAATACGTATAGCAACAATTGCCCGCGGTTGACATGGTGATTGTAGCCCCCAGAAATGTCCGCTCATGCAAAAAAGAAAAAAAAAGAAAAAAGAAAGATGCCGAATGCAGGATTTTCAACAAAAATTGGACTGCTAAGTATTTTTTTTACTGAAGTCGCAGGTAAAGTCGGTTTGCGGGAAGGAGCTTGCCGTGTTTAAGGACTACAATTTGAGTTGGCAGTACGACAAGAAACACTCGGAAAAATATAAGAACTTGTCTGATGCTGAGAGGGCACGGACATCCGAAGCTTTGCTAGCAAAGTTGCAAATGCAGCAAGGCTGTTTTACTAAGCTTCACACATCCAGGGATGCAGCAACCAGGACCAGCTTTGTGATATCCCACAAAATGGCTAAAAACAGCAAGCCGTTTTCGGAGGGAGAGTTTGTCAAAGAGTGCATGGTGGACTCTGCCGCACTAATATGTCCTGAAAAAAAGGCGCATTTGAGCAAATCCCGCTGTCCAGGCGAACCGTGACCAGGAGGATCGAGGACATTGCGGGGAACCTGGAGCTTCAGCTGCAACGTGAAGTGGCAAGTTTTGACTTTTTCTCATTGGCCTTAGACGAGAGCTGTGATGTCTGGGACACAGCCCAGCTGCTCGTATTTGTCCGGGGATAACGGACTTCAAGCTCACAGAGGAGCTGGCAGCAATGCGGTCGATGAAAGGGACAAAGACAGGGAGTGATCTTTTTACAGAGGTAAATGCGTGCACGGACACTCTGGGATTGAAATGGGAGAGACTGTCAGGTGTCACAACAGACGGTTGTCCAAATCTTACAGGGAAAAATGTCGAACTTTGGAAGCACATGCAAGATAAAGTGACAGAAATCAATGTAGATCAAAAATAGGTGTTTTTGCTTTGTATTATACACCAACATCTGTTGTGCAAGTCAGTGCTAAAAATCAACCATGTTACTGATGTTGTTACTAAAACAATAAACTGCATCAGGGCGCGGGCAATGAATCACAGACAGTTTGTGGCTCTTTTGGAGGACTCCACACAGTTGTCAGATGGTTCAGCCTGGGGAAAGTGCTGAAGAGGGTTTGAGACTTGAAAGCAGAGATTCGAGAGTTTTGTGAGAGGAAAGGCAAAGACATTCCAGAGCTCTCAGATGAGGATTGGATGGCAGATTTTGCATTTGCTGTTGATGTGACTGCACTGATGAATGAACTGCACACCAAACTGCAAGGCAAGGGCCTTCTTGTTCACGAAATGCACAGCCTCGTGAAGACCTTCATGAGAAAGCTGCAGTTTCTTTCAAGTCAACTGGAGAGCAACACTCTCACTCACATGCAAACCCTGAACGAAGTCACACCATCAGCTGATCACCTCCGCAGGTACTCATCCATGTTAGGAGCTGTCGGTGACAGCTGCTCCTCTGCTGCTTCGCGTCTCGTGGGAAGGGCCAAGCAGCAGCTAGACGTGCTGCTGCAGTAACGTGCTGCTGACGGCTCCCGTGGAAACCCGGGGTTAGACTCCCTATAGCTCACAAGCTGTGATGGTCCTCAGAACCTGCCGCCTGGACTTCACACAGCTGAAGAAATGAAGGTGCATCTCCTCTACAATTTGCAGGTTTTTGCTGAAGGATCACCATGACTTTGTTTGTTTTAGGAGAGATTCTCTGTTTATTCTGACAACCAGCATAAACAGAAACCCAAACAAACAACATTAGCGGCTGCCCACTCCAATTACACAACACATATTTTGTGATTACTTTGACAAGACCGTTACCTGCATGTGTTAATCATGCTGATAGATTTTATTTTGTCATTTTAGCTCAGTTTATTGACAGCAAGTGCATAGATTTGGCATGGATGAAGGTGACGTGTCCCCACCAATCATTTCACCACCTCCAGTAAAAAGTAGCCGTCCAGAAACATGACATCACTAACACAGGCGCTAGGGCTGGGCAATATGACGATTTTAGACCGTTTTACGATCTACACATCTGACGGTCTGTCATTTTTGAGAGACCGTTTTATCACGATTCACAGCTCTGCTGTTGAATTTCTGCCTCTGAATGAAAATGGAACTTACCTCAGGCGAAGGACACGCCTTTGTTTGACCCTTAACCAATCAGAGTGAGTCATAGTAATATATTAGTGCCCCGCTTGTTTACACCTGTGTGTGAACAAGCATGGCTTCGCCGCGGCTGAGCGACAACGAGGTTTTCGTTCCGAAGAGGAACACAGGGTTTCCTTAGCGCGCGGCGCTAACAATTTAGTGACGTGACATGTTTCGGAGAAAGCGTAAAAACACGTTGGACGCTTCTTCTGAAGCAGGAAAATAACACCGCTTCTTAAGCAGAGCACGACGTCGCCTCGGCTCGTCCACCCTCTGCCGAGCCGGTGTCGGTACCGGACTGAGCTCTGTCACTGGGTCGTTGGAGCTGCCCCGTGACTGCCTGATGGAAAACCAGCGGGTTTCATCAGACTCGTAGTTTCTTGTTTTTGCTGGGGACCCCCTGTATTTTACCGCTCCCTCCTGCAGTCTTCCTCTATTACAATTTAAAATGATTCTGTAAACTCCGTGTATCAATAGAAACAATCTCTGCCTCTGCCAGCTGCAGTAAATGTAGTTTCCAAATAATAAGAGGTGCACTCATCTGTGTATCTCCTTTGATCCACATTAGTGATGTTTTCAGCACCAGAACAGTGAAGCAAAGAAAGATTCCTGAGTTTGTTAGTAATTTTATTCATTAGGTGCATCTAACCTGTTCTATTTTTCTCTGAAATGAGATCAAATCAGTGCTTCTATGGGTTGTCTCCAATCTGCACTGGAAAATTTTACTTTATTTAGAGACTTGTTGCAGAATATATTCAGAATGCGCAGTTTTTTGCTACCACAAGCGATCTCTGGTCCAGCCGCACATCAGAGCCGTATTTGAGCTTAACTATCCACTACATGAGCAAATGGGAGCTACATAGTATTTTGAACAAGTTAATGTTTGCACAATACGTTTGCAATTGACATGTTTGCACTTTAAATATGTTTACGATTTTAATTTATGTTAAGTTACTTGAAAAACGAGAAAAACTGATTTTAATTGTTTCTCTCAGGGCTTTTATCATCTCTGGTGTGAGTTTAAAATATAAGTGTGTTAGCACTGTGCTGATTATCCCTAATATGAATAAATGTTTATTTATTCAATGTTTCTCTTCTTTAATACGCAATTGAAGTTATGCCATTCATGGATAAAAATCGTGATAAAATATTGGAAAAATCGTGATATTCTATTTTTGCCGTATCGCCCAGCCCTAACAGGCGCTGCGCCAGGTTTTAATTTCTGGATGTGTCATGATTGTTTCCTCCCGTCGTTTTCATTTCTCAGATAATAATAAATAAATAATTCACAATTTAATTTCCATTCTTTTTTCATTGATATTTATGTTTATTTATGTAGCAGATGCTTTTATCCAAAGCGACGTACAATTTTTTACCCATAGGGCATGTTGTGATCTGTGGGGGAAGCCGGAGGACCCGGAGGAATACCACACATGCATGGGGAGAACATGCACACACACAAAACTTGATAGCTTTTACTTGATAGACCGCGCCACCACACACTCCGTTTAATCTAAACAAGCTGACCAGCATATCCAACAAAATATTAATCTTACAATGAAACAATAAAATAGGAACATTTTTCCTGCTGTATTCTGGTTCTGCTGCTGGGCTGTGACCTGGCTGAGACCCACAGACGGAGATGCTCTCCTCAGCACACTGACAGCGAGCTGAGCTTATGTTAGAACACGATGCTTCTGCCACAATATCATGGGCTCTATTTTGTTCAGCGTAAGGTTACATGTGATGTGAGTTCCGCGTTATTCGATAAAGGCAGGGGCCTCCCCTGTTGCTGAGCTGAGCGGGCATTGGGGCAGTGTGGCTTCCAGAAAGCGCCAAGTATGACTCCTGTGGTTTTGTATAGCTAACGGATAACACAAGATCAGCATGACCGATACCCAGACCAGAGATGGTGGTTTGACTCCCGTGATAGGTAGGCAACCTTAAGCTGTGATGTCAACAGTTAATCATGGTGTTCAGGTGTGAGATAATACTCAGATGTTCTGATGGGAATCTTTTCCTGATGATTTTTTTTTACTTCCGCGATGTTCTCTGTGCGTAACGTTTAAAATGTCTGCACACCTGCATGCATCGGGGTACTTCCAGTATGAATGACCAACAGCTTTGGGATTGTTTTGTCAAAATAAACAGTCAAAAATGGAAAATATCCAGTTAATGCAACTCCAATTTAACTTTTTGTCTTC